TGAAAATAAGTATTGCTTAACGTTTGAAAATTAGTGAGAAACACCCTAGAATAAAATATTTTTTTAGATGAACTGTCTTGTATAAATAAGCATGATGCAATGACCCATGTTGTCAATTATTTCAATGATTTTTCTGATAAACCTTGATTATATAGCCTCATCCCGTTCTATTGTATCAATAGTTATTCCATTTAAATTTAATCTTACCATCATATTCAAAATTTCTGCTTGCTAATTATTACTAGATGGTACTCGAATTTCACTCGAGTACGAAATCACGATTTTAAGGTTTTCATAAATTTCTCTTCGTTTTAATTATCTTGAAAAAGGAAGAAAACTCACGAAGAACTACATCAATGCTTTGCTTCGCATCGTATTAAATATTTATATAGCTTGTGCTACTTCTAACATGTATAAATAACCAGTGTAAATGATAAACGTCGATATGCTCGATCTTGTGTAACAATAAACAAAAATTGTAGGATGTTCAATCCTGATTCATTTTTTTAATGATATTTACAATTAATTGTATTTAGGTAGATGCCAAATTATCTTTGACTATGTTCTAAGTTAACTACGATCAACCAAATTTTGTTTAAATCTGAATATATGTTTTATAACAAGATTCGAGAGTACTATTCTTCAAGAAAATATACAAATTATTTTTTTTTCTTTACATTTATTCTAACTGATAACGATTAACGACTGTCATGATTTAGCCTCTGGATCACGACGGATATGACGCATGATGATAATCATAGTAGTAAGTAGAACAAAATTATTTGTAATGGTTATAATCATTTTGCTTTTAATATTTTGTGGTTGATTATAATCTATTTTTAGTACTGGTAACGAACACTGTCATACTTATATTAAGACACATTGTTTTATTTTTTAGGTAAAAATACGATTAAATAAGGAAAACGAATAGGGACAAAACATGCACCTTTGAAGTCATATTAACTTTTATTCACTACAAAACAAAAATCACCTGATAGTTTCAAATAGGAGACAATCGTATCATTATATATTATACCTTTCATTGAGTATCTATCAAATAATAACCAATCTCATCATTTAAGTTTGCATATTGTGCGCCATCTGTCGAATGACACAGACGAAAATATTGGATTAGTCACATTTGTCCAGACCTTCCTTTATTACTTACATACGTTATAGTATAGCTATATAGGTGCACTAAGGAAAAAAATATTTTGATATATTTTTATATTTAAATGTAAAATATTTCAATTCTGATATAACATTCTCAACAAATTATTACAAAATTCCAATTTAACTTCGTTCATCTTTACGTAAGTTCACTTCCTCCGCAAATTTTAAAAGTTATTTCCTATTTTAGAAAATTTAAAATATCAACGTGTCGTCAACAAATAATATTCCTACAATCTCTTTTTATAGTAGTCGAAAAGTAACTTATAAATATTTTCTTCGAAAGAAAAACAAAATCATTTTTTTAGCGTACTAATTATGAATTGATACTTACAAACGGTCTAATGGCCAAAAAATCCAAACCACAACCAGAAGGTATTTTTTATATCGAATATTTTAAATCAATTTATTTTATTTTTATATATAGTTATCTGTTTGAGTGATGATGATGATGACGGTGACAATAATAATAATAATAAAACTAAACTCGATGAATCGATTGTTACACCTGTAAAACAACAATCATCTGCCATAATTAATGGCAAAGATAAAACTGATACATCACAAAAATCTGACTGGATGGTACATCGTAAAGATATAATACGTATACCTGATTTACCTATAAAACAATCTGAATTAATCAAAAAACCATATGAATTATATTGTTCAGCAGTACGTTTTGGTATTGTTGAATTTAGTGTTGAAGCAGAAACAATTCTTATGAAAGATATTGAATTTGAATTAAAACTTAAAAGTAAATATTCAGAAAAAGAAAAAAATATTTTGACTTTTTTTTATTTCTTAGGTACTTTCATGGATAATCTTAATATAAAATTAGCTTATACAGATATATTATCATTCTTCTATTCATTTCAATCACAACCACCAGCTGCATTTATTCAAGTTCGTCCAGATTTTGCTGATCTATTTGCAACATATATACCATCAACTGATGAACATGGAAAACAATTTGATCCAAATTCGAAAGGTTTTTAATCAAAAAAATTTTTTTTACATTTGAATTACTATTCTAGTTAAACTTATCTAGATGAAAGACGTCGTCGAATTGTTTTATGTTTAAAACATTTAGAATCAGAACCAGAAAAAATAACTACATCATCAATATTCTATTTTCTAAGAGCAAAATCTTCTACAATGGTAAATAAAAATTAATTTTTTTTCATATATAAAAATTATTATTTTTTTTATTAGAATATTTGTTGTATAAATGGTTCAAAAGCTCAAGAAATTTATAATTTATCTCGATTTGCAAGAGCATCAGCATTAGGTTCAATTACAACACCATTTGTAATCAATGCTAATGATTTGTAAGTTTAATTTAACGATTAGTTTGGAGGACAAATTTGTTTTTGTATTCTAATGTGAGTGCATTCAACCATGATACTTTTATTATTAAATATAATGAATGAGATAAATTTTCTATATATTGATTTTTGTTCTTTGTCAGATAAATTTTTTTATTTTTTTTTAGAACTCCAAAAGTTGTTGGTTTAAATAATAATACAATTCGATTTGATTTATCACGTGATGATTTAATGTGTTTGAATGAGGGTGAATTTCTCAATGATACTATTATTGATTTTTATCTTCAGTAAAATCGAATTATTGTATAAGTAATTTATTGTTTGATTTCTATTCAATAGATATGTCTATTATGAAAAACTTTCTGAAGAAGATCGTAAACGTACATATTTATTTAATTCATTTTTCTATACACGATTAACAAGAAAAGGAAATGATGATATTCCAAATATTTCGTAAGTTTATCTATTTTAATATTTTTATAAAATAATTATTTTCAAAAATATAAAATATAATAGTCCAGCTGAACGACGTTATAATCGTGTGAAACGATGGCTTCGTGATGTAGATATATTTTCGAAAGATTATCTTATTGTACCAATTAATCAAACAGCACATTGGTATATTGTACTTATTCAATTTCATAATAATGTTCCAACAGAAGGTGATTTAATTAGCGATGATGATGATGATGATGAAACACATGGTAAGATATTCGAAATAAAAGCTTTTTTATACCGAGAAATTCATTTAGAAAATCAATCAAATTCGAAGAAAAAAAAGAAAATTATTCAACATTCTAATGAGGTCCCTTCTAATAATGGTACTACTACTGATGGAGAATCTTCAATAACGACTAGTCATCGAACGGAAGTACTTGACGAAGCTGATGAAATTACAACGAACACTGATAATCATTTAAAAGATGCTCATTCTAAAAATCGTTCTCAAACACCAGCAATAGTTTTATTTGATTCATTACATGCTGGTTCAAAAAATCGTGTTGCAGCAACATTACGTGAATTTCTTCAACTTGAATATGATCATAAAAAACCATTACCAGTTGGATCAACAGCACGAAAAATATTTAATTTAGATACAATACCAACTATTGAAGCTGCTGTACCACAACAACCAAATTATTTTGATTGTGGTTTATTTATTTTACAATATATTGAAAATTTTTTTGCTCATCATCGTTCATCAACAATTAATTTTCAATCACCATCAACATTTGCAAATTGGTGTGAAAAAACTATTACAGGTCCATCAAAACGACAGCAAATATTTAATATTATCAATCAACATGTTATTACAAAAGAAATGTGATCATTTCTTATTTATTCAACTCTTTGTCTTCTTATATTTTCATTCATGTTCTAGTTGTCCGTGTTACACTCGTTCTTTTTGCTATGTATACATTTATTTTTTTTTCTCTCAAGTCATTAAAAAAAAAACACACACAAATAACACAGATAAAATTCTGGAAGATGATCATATAAATGTATTTTGTTGATATATATTATATTCTTTATTTTTCAATTAGATTTATTATCCGAAAATATGGCTTCGGTACAACGTAAGCATGGAGATAACAAACAAAGACAGGTAACAGACGTACTCATCAGTTGTTTAAAAATGAATAGTAATCGGCATTTAGTATACATAAGATGATGACCTTTTCTACTTGTGCACAAAGAAGTGCATTATTATTGAAGTACATATGTTATGCATAAAAATGACAAAGTTTATTTATTACATAATATGAAGAAAAAAAATAAATGAGAATGAAATTTTGCAAAAAATTAGTTTCTGACTGTTTATCTTTGGTTTAGAATACAAAGAAAAATACAATTTCTGGTCTTCCGAAAGAAACATCTGAACTATCAACATTTGATAAATTAATGTTGTATTTAACAAAAACACATCCTGATTATTCAAAGTAGGTAAGTAAATTATGACTAATTTGTAATGATTCATTATTTTGTCAATAGATCTGATTTTGCTGAAGCTTTATATGCTTATCGAAATGAACAACAAACATTAGCTGGATTATCTTTAACACAGATTGAAGAAGGTGTTTTAAATATTGTTCGAAATAAACATCCAACAAAACAAGTCAATAAATAATATATATTGTTTTTTTTTATTAACCTCTCTATTTTTTTAGGTTGATAATAACACTATTCAAATTGAAGTAAGTACTTTTTCATCTAATAAATCAATCGACTATTTTTCTTTTTTTGAAGGAGTCGGTACAAGATAAAAGTGAACAATCTGTTGCTGCTGCTCTTTGGAGTACATTCAAGCGTTATCGTGAACGTGAACAATCATCAAAAAAATTCGACAAAAATAATGAAGATCAATGTCTTATTTGTCTTGAAAATTTAAGTTCAAATAAAACAGAAACATTTTCATGTCAGCATACATTTCATCGAAATTGTCTTGAAGAATGGTTTAAAATTGAACGAACATGTCCTCTTTGTCGTAAATTGTTACTTTTTAATGATGAATTTCCCGTTTTGATGTAATTCTTCTTTTTTTTGATTTGATTATTTATAGAATGAATAAACTTATATTACTCATTTCACTGAATATGATTATAAAAGAATATCTACGCTATTAAATTCTTCTCTTTCTTTTTTTTGAAAGAGATGAAAATATATACTAATGATGACGAACGCTCGATAAAGAAAAAGAGAATGCGTCATATTATGAAAATCAGACTGGTAGTATTTACAACAAGAAGAAAGTGGTGACAAACCGAAAGGTTTATAAAAAAAAAAAGAAAATTATTCAAAAATGGAAGGAGAAAAAAAAGAGAACGAGATCGATAGAAAACTGAACAGAGAAATAAAAAAACATAAGTTGTATGTTATGAAAAAAGGTCATGGTCCTCAGAAATAAAAAGAACAGTAATATGTTGGTGGTAGCGGTGGTGAGTAAGAAGGAGAGGAGAAAGAAAAAACAGAAAAAAAAAGAAGAACTAAAGTGTATTTCTTTTGACATACAAAACGACAGCAAAGAAATACGACGAAGAAGAAGAAGAAGAAAAGGAAAACTGAATATACATTTCAAATATTATGGCCGTTGTTTCGTACCTCCAGATAATATCACTATTGATATTAGTGATTTGTTGCACTATTGGTAATGATTATTAGAATTTTAATAATATATTTTTCAAGTTTTTCTATTAGGACAAGGAAATGATAATGTTGATCGTCGACGACGACGACAAACAATAGACGATGGTAAACGTAATGCAGATATCCCTTCAAGAAATCCAGACAGATTAGTATCTTCAAAAAATATCCAATTTAATCCGAATAATCAACAACAATCATCTCAAGGACAACAGGAACAACAACCAAGTCGTCCTCGAGGTTTTTATCATAGTCCAGAATTTAAACCACCATCATTTTCAGGTGAAAAACCAGCGGGTTGGTTTGATACAAAATATCCATATTGGGTCTCAAATCAAGATGGTCAATCAGATAAAAATAATATAATTGATGGAAAAAATGCAGCACCAAGCAGGTAAATATAAAACTATAAAAAATATTGTTTAATATTATATGTATATATTATTTTTCTATCATTAATAAGTCTTCAAGGCAAAGGTAATTTACCGAGAAGAGAAGATGGTGGCGCTTTTTTTCTTCAAAAAGCAGCTAAACATTATTATGGTAAAGGTGAAAAAGCATTTAATATCGCTGCATTGAATGGTAAATATTTACAGACGAAGAAGAAAAAAACAATATATAATTTATTTAAATTCTTTAGCTCAACAGAGACGTGGATCTATGTGTACCAATACGCAAAATTTTAATGGGTATACATTTAATAAATTTCCGTGTCCATTACCACCTGGTACAGGTATGAATCAACTCGATCAATATTGTTGCGGACCGGTAAATTCTCAATATTGTTGCAATGTTCAGTTCGTATCTATTACAACAATAAAAAAATGACTTGAAATTATACGATTGTTTTTTTCTTTCTATTAGAGAATATAATCAAGATCAGGCTGGTGGATATGGCAATAATGTATACAATAGTAACCAACGGCATGGCAAAACTTTACATTATTCACCAAGAACAAATCGAACTCTTGCTATTGTTTTACCTATTGTTGGTCTTCTTGTTTTGGCAGGAGCAGGAATTATTGTATTTTTATATTATAAAAAACTTCAAACTGAACAAGTTACAGATGGAAAATCAACTGGTGCTAATTATTCAGGTAAATTTATTAATAAGATAATCAAATAAAAAATGATTAGTAACATATTTCTATTCAGCTGTTCTACAAGATCCACCATCGGATAAACCTGCAGTTCCAAAACGTGGAGAACAAAAAACAACTGTTCAAACTTAATTTTTAACGCTAAATATGTACATTTCATCTAATTTTTTTTTCGTAGCTAGTCCATACACATTTTTTAAACTTGAAATACTTTTTACATCGGTTATGTTTTTATTCTTCTCACTTGGTTTTAATATATATACATGTGGATTTTGGTTTGAAAAAGAATCTCTATTTCTTTTCTTTCATTCCTATTTTATTAATAAATAAAATTAACTTTTGATATATTTAATTAACATAATATTTGACAGACACTTAGTCATAACATCATTTGAATTTTTGAATAATATATTTGTCTCAGCTGTTTGATATCATTTTTTAAAATGAATCAATGCACTTTTCGTAAGTCATAAAAAATATCTAAAGGTTAAATCTCTTGTGAATTGACTGAGTGAAAGAATCATTGGATATTACACAAATAATGAATCATATGAAAGAAATTTTTTTAATGATGTTAAATCCTTACGTGACAAAGTACGAGTAGGATCAAAATAACTAAAGTCTGTGCTAATAAAATAAAGTCAGATGAGTCAATGTATCTAATAGAATAATCAACCATTCTTCACTTAATTCAAAAATAAATAAAATTTGTTTTCCATTTGGATACATTGTTCATTAATTAATCAATATAAATATAATGCCAACCGAAGATCTATGAGACACTTAATTTTATATATAAAAGAATATCTTCCTCCTACCCTTGTTATACAATATCATCAATTAGGTGCTTTTGACTATCTCTTATTGTAGAATGGAATATGACTCAAGCTGATCCACGGGTAACAGAATATATACATGAACATTATCATTTAAAAGCATTCGTTATTCCATATTGATACATTAAGCATGTTATTCTTGTACGATATTTACAATATACTATCATTCATTGTGGTGTATGATCTAAAGAGAGAACTCTGTGACGATTGGTATTAAATTCATATTTTCAATTTGATTCCATCAAATAACATAAATAGAAATAATATGATAGACAACAAGTTTAGAACAAAGTACATTAGAATGAAAGGTCCATATCGACAGTATTGAGGTTGTTGATATTGTCATGAATGACGTCAATCCAGTGAATCAATCAAACTTACATAATTTATTTCAACATAAATAGTGTTGATATTTCCTATATCAATATACTTTTAATATTCAAAAAAATATCCTAAGATTCATGATTTATCTATCAGTAAACTATGGAAAGAAATCTGTTGCGACGTGTTTATTCATGTATACTAAATTTTGGATTTTATGGTAATAGCACAATAAATTCTATTCATGGGTGCTTCATACTATCGATATAGCAGAGTTGTTAGGTAATCTATAAATATAAATATACTCTAGGAATCTCTCATTTTACAAACTTGTTAAAATAAGAAAAATATACTAATATCTATATAAGATATTTTGTGCCTATTAACTTCAATTTGATTTTCACTATGAAGTGTTCTACAAGTAAATTATATCATATCATTATTAATACTTTATTTTTTCAAGAAAATACGTGTTTTGATATTGAATTTTTATTTTCAGTTGTTTTTCTTTTCACACTTCAGATTAAATTGAAATCTCATGTCAACTATGATATATTTATTTGTCACTTTTGGAATACTATAAATATATTGTCTCGTGTTATTAGAGAGATGAGGCGGAAACACTTACTAAGCTACATATACATTTACGCGATGAAAGTTTTCTTTTCTAGTTATATTCTTTGATGAACTTTGATAATAGAAAACAAGAAAAAAGACGGTAATTCTCTGTTCGAGAATACTGTCATTTTACTTTAATTCCATTCAAAAAAATGTTAGTAGTTATCTCTATAAAAGTATCACTACTTTAATACAAACAATCATTTAAAAAAAACAACAACATGATTGATCCCGCCAACATTGTTAGGATAACCGCGATCGTGGTAGAATCAATTAGTTTTATACTTACTGCGAGTTATTTGTTACCAATTATCTTCAATCGACGTTTTCATAACGTAAACAATCTTTTGACAGCGAATCTCTGCTTATTAACATTTATGGCTTCAATTTTTTGGATTATTGATTTTGTAATATTTGGTTTTTTTGACGCTTCGATTCAAAATATCGCTTTGCTACGTGTTTATTTTCAATATTTGGAACCAATGTTCAATTGCTTAGGACTTTATGGTTTTGTAACAATTAGTGTCAATCGATGTTTTGCTGTTGTCTATCCACACAAGGGGTTTTTCAAAAAACTATCATGGTGCTTCATCTCAGCAGGTATATCATGGATGGTGGCCATAATTCTGCCTATACCAATTTTTGTTGCGTGTTACGAGGTAAATATGAGTTTTAAATAATAGTTAGTTTAAATTATTATTCATTTTTTCTAGGCGTATATACAGGGTAAACTTCTACGTGTCAACACATGGATAGGTCTCTATAGTTTTTTCATTATATTAATACTTCCTGCAGTTATATTTACAATTTCGAATGGAATCATATATTTCACTGTGCGAGCATTCAGTCGTCGTGTCAACACCATTACAGAAAACACATCTGGTAATTTTAGTATTGAGTGTTTAAGTTCACGAGACATTCGTTTACTAAAACACATAGTTTTCGTTTTTATCATATATATGACTGGATGGTCACCAGCGTACATTGCAACAGCAGCTGATGCCACTGTTGATATGCCGGATTGGCTTTTATATCTACTGATATTACCAGCTGGAGTAAGTTTCGTGATTCTTCTGGTAGATCTACTTTGGTACAATCATGAGATTCGAAAATATTTAAAAGTAAAATTTTTCAAGTGGTTACATATACAATGATATTGAATGAATTCAATTCAATCAATGAAATAATTATATATATATGTTATTTATCAATTACTTCGTGTTGTTGCGTTTTGTAAATTCTATTTTGGGGAATAAGACTATTGTATTATACAGTGTGTTTAGTCATTGTAAATCAATATATATGCTCACAAAAAGAAAGGATTTAGTTTTTAAAAAATAAGAGAATTTAGTTGTAAACAATTATCTAAAATTATTTAGGTCATTCATTACATCCATAATATCATATTCGATTTTATATGATTCAGAGCTTTGAAAATTAGTTCTAACATGAATGTAAGAGTGCAATTGAGCGAGAATAATGAGAGAAGATTTATAAAGCAATATACATATTGAAAAAGTTATAGTTGTTTTGTCTTCACTCATCAGTAGAACTAAATATAAACTATAATAATAACAAGTTGAACATGTTCATTCAGACATCTTGTTATTAATTAGAGAAAAACATACTACATTGATGACAGCATAGTCTAGCTTTTATATTAGTATAGAACTTAACGAATTATTGTTGAGTTTGAGTTACTGCTTTAATGATTTTAATGAAAGAGATAATGAATAATAATAAAAAGAGGGCATTGATAATTAAAGATGCCATCGTCTATTCCGATAATGGACTTCATAACGACAGTTGATAGTTCTAATAAAATATAAGGTCACATAAAAGAACTTGCATGTATGATCATATCGAGCTAATTTAATTTTAATGAATATACGTTTTACTAAAAAGTTATTGTTTAGTTCAAATGTAACTACGGATTGTCTTATAAACATTGCTTATTACGATGAATAGTAATTATAATCAAGGAAATTTTGATTTTTTCCGATTATTTTTGAATAAAATCAGCGAAAAACTGATTTTGACCATGTTTGTTTTTTTTACATGAAATATGTGAAATGCATTATCATTAACTAGTTATTAGTCGATAGTTAGAGGAACTATTGGTATGTTTCTTTGATGATTGGCATCAGAATTTAATTTATTCATATGTTTCTCATACCATAAGAATATGACTTGAAATTCTGAAGTAACTTCAACAGATCTATAATTAAAATCTCTGCTCACAAACAAATTTCATTTAATGTTTTATTTTTGAAAAAAGATATTTATTTCTTTTTAGATGTTTTAGTAATATAAATTATTGATTTTCTTCATTTATGAAATAACTCGAAAACTAATTCCATTTTTATGAAGACGATGAAGTGCGTGTTCAAGCACATCCATTTCTAATTGAAGTTTACTACTAAGATAATGAATAAATCCATTAACGAAGAAATATAGCTCTTCGTGGATTGAAAAGATAAATTTTTACTAAACTTTTTGTTTCTTTTATAGTATGTTTGGATCTTCATATAACAAGTTCAATGAACTCTATTCAATGGTGGTATTAGTTTCCCATTCCGAAGATCTTTGTGCGTCTTCTACCAATATCCGTTTATAATAAACATACGTTTAGTAGTGCTTGCATGTATTGTTGAAAGATTTTTATTAGTTAAAATCAATATTTGCCAAACAAAAATCAATGGTACAAAAGTTTTGCATAAATTCTATTTTTAATACAGTTGTTCTGAAAATAGTATTTGACAGCTATAAAAATTCTAAAGTTTAGAGGCGTTAACATAACTCTTTTAAGTATCGTTTTCATTCACTTTTGATGATCTCTATTACTATATATATATACTGTTTATAACAACAAGATCATTATTGTTGCTTTGAAATAGTTGTACTGGTATACAAAAGAATAAACAGCAGATAATTGGATAAAGAAATCATAGTCATTTTTTTATTATGCAGAAAACCTTTCTGTTTTCGTTTTCATCAGCTATGATCAACTTTGAAATATTCATTGAGTTTGCAGTAACGAGCTTAGATAGAATGATAATAACTTGGTGATAAAGCAAGAGATAAAAGTAGTTTATTTAAATGATAAATTTTTCTTATTTGTATGACATATTATATGAATGAAAGTAATACGCTGTTTTTTTTTAGTTAAGTAGGCATCTATGAAACTTGAACCTGAATGAGTCTTAGAATATTTTCATAATATTTTTTATATACCAAGAAACCTCTTGGTAATCACCTCAATATTCAACAGACACCGAATATTAAAGTTCAAGATTGATCAATGCCTATACTTAACACTACACACACTAAAAGCAAAAGAATTGTAGTATAAGTGATTAGTTCTTCAACAGGTGACGGTAGTATTTGTGTTTATTTTCGGTTTGACTTTTATGATGCGCTTCCATTTATGACCATGTCGACGAATGAAGCGTACAGCACGCGGTACTACTAAATCAATTGCTTTGGTTAGACCACCTAATAGGCCAACGACTGTTGTGATAACGGTGATGATTGAACGACGTTCTACGATTGTATAAATACATTGCGAGGGTAAACACGCCATGAAATAACCGGTAAAATTGAAAGTAGCCGCCAAGTCTTCTATAAATAACTGTCGAACGATGGTTCCAATAGTAGTATCTACTGCGAATCGTGAATCATTAGTAACTTTAAGAACTTGTACTTCGAGTGGAAGTGAATAAACATTTCGAAGTAATGAGAGACATGTTATATTATAGTAGCATTCAAGTGTTGAAGCGAAGAGTGCCTCATCAATATAGCATCCAAAACGCCAACCAGGTATCCAATGTGCGATATTTTGCGTATCTGTAGCAGCGACTAAATTCGTGCCTTTTGAACTCACTTGACAGTTCTCCCAAGCATCATTTTGATCTAAAAATTGTTCAGACGTAGAGTATACTGGAAAATCTCGGTAATAGTAATCATAGAAAGCTGTGAAATAATTACTGGTGCCGAGACTAGATACAAGTAAATTGCCTTGTTTCAGCACGTCAATCACATCGATCTCACGACCAAATGCAGTCTGCGTATCAGCCTGAAAAGACTCGACAATCACTTGAATTTGAGATAGGAACAAACTCTCATCAGATAGTTGAGACACAACTAAACGTGTTTCAAGGAAAGAATCAATAGCATCAGTTGTTGTGGTCTCAGCCAGATCACATAGAGCAACCATCAATCGAAACTGTGCAAACGAAATACGGCGCCAGTCATTAAGACCTCCGGCTTCATTGGCCAAAGCACTTAAAAAAGTCAACCAGACGTCCAGTGTAAAATCCGAAGTACAAAACTATAATAATGCATATGTTATCGTTAATTAAAGTAAACTGCAAATAAAGGGATTTTGCAACAATGAAAAGTCACATTTATCGGATGATTTCAAAGATAGAAAAGTGAATTTTTAGTTCTGTTTGTGAGGATCCGAGAACATCTAGTGACCTCTTTCAAAACGAAAGTGTAAATGTATTTAAATAGCAACACATCCAAAAATAGACGAACACGATTTCTTATGTGTTCGTATTGTATGGAAATAGAAGTCTGAGAGTTCTACTGGAAGACAGCGATTATACGATTTCAATAACAACAAATAAAAGAACCTTAGGAACTGCAAATTTTATACAAATTTAAGATAATTTGGAAATTTGCGCGGGATTTTGAATCTCGACTTTCCACTCATTTGCAGAAAAAAAAGTAGTCCTTCGTCCAAAACGCCTTTTCAATTTTACATTCAATCATACATAATTCAACAGTTCGTAGTAATTCGTAAAACTTCTGAATGCAAAACTGCAATATCCGTCAAAATGTCTAGAGATTAACAAAGCGTAAAATGAATCTGTTTTCTAAGATTTACCTGATGATACCGCGGTTGAAATTCAATAAATGACGAGTACGAAATGGCAATGTTTGTGCATGTACAAGTCATATCTGGATGTTGCTTGATAAAAGATTTATATTGATCAACAGTAGGTTGAGTCACAGTTATTATTTCACTGTTGCTAACCAGACCAGAATAGAGTGTGAGTGATAAAAGCGACCCTGTCAGGAGAATTATAGCAATTCGTGTAGATATAATTCCTGTTTGTCTCTCATGATCATCAGTTGATGTTGCTGTGTAGAAATTGAGTGAGCACAGCTTGGAATAAAGAGTACGTAGAGCATCTCGTATGGTATTTAAAGAAAACATTGATCTGAAATATTGTTTTTCAGTAAAACTGAACAAAGTTCTCTAATCTACGACTTTATCAAATTCAACTATAAAAAATAGAAGAGAAAACAGTCAAGATCATGTTAGATAACTAAGAATACTATTAGGAAAAAAACAAACAAAAAAAGCAAATCTAAAAAGATCAACTCATCCCACATAGTGGCATTGGAATAGTAAAAATAAATGCTCAGTTTTACTGCAAAGTTTATGAACTGGAATTCGACCACTTCGGAAACTGATCCTTTATTATTTCTTTTTTGATATTGAATTAAATTAAATATAAATGCTCTTATTATCGCTTTACACAAACAAATAGCCGTAAATTAATCTGTAACTCTGCGAAAAATCGGTCCGATATTGCTAAATAGCAACCTCTAATCCGAAAGGGTTAAAGACAAAAGTTTCAGATCCAATTTCTTATCTGAAATTTTTCTCAAGTGTCTTACTCTAGAAATGGAGACCTTCATGATGCACGTTAATAATGTTAGATATATTCGGGTAGAAATAAAGGTTATAAAATTAAACAATTATATTACAAACTTAGATAACTGTTAGCATGTATCAAAAAAGATATTTAAATTATCAAAATACACAGTAATATATTGTGTGCATACTAATAAAATTTCAGTAAGTTTTTTCTCTTTTCTTAGTACTAAATAAACGTCGAGATTTTACAAAACTAACGAATTCTATCTAATCACGATGAAAGAAACAAAAAGCTCATACTGAAATCTTTGAAATGTAAGTAGACAATATATTTTTTCTTTTAAACACATCAATACTCACTTGTATTTCAAATATATTGGTTTAATATTTAACGACTTAGTTTAACAAACAAATCTATCTCATCTTCATTATATTATAGGCCTCAAAGTCTTTTAAACGTTTCTTACTATTACAGAACTCTACTGTAATACACATAATATCAAATCTAAAAATATGTAATAGTTGAGATTGTTTCTTCACCACTTTAATTGTTATTTGTATAGAAGTTGTTTAGTATATATGAAGAAAATGTTTGACGTCAAAACAATCTGTTTCCAGGATAAACAAAAACTCTGACGTCAAAATAAACTGTTCTTACAGTAATGAAAATGTCAGTGTTTAAAATCATATCACTAATGAAAACTATGCATCACAGCTCTGTTGCTTGAAAAAACAGTTACTAACGTTTGTTTTAAAATAAAATTAGTATTCACTTTAGAAATTACCAGACAACACAATACACGGTAATAGTTCTAGCTAGATAGATTTACTCTGTATTGCATTTAACGAAACCCTCTAAACACCATTAATATCGTCTTATTTATCATTTATTTAATCAATAATTTGTTTTATGATCGTGAATTCTTCTAATAAATACTATTGAACTTTCAAATCATATATACTAAACACATTATCTTCTCCTAAAAACAATAACTATTTATATGTATAGATGTAAACTGGCGGTCAGTGGATTAGGCGATACCGCTATGTAATATGGAATCAGTTTCTTATCAGTACATTATACATTATTCGTTTGTTTTTTTTCGCTCCTAAATTCCTCGAAATGAAGAAGAGCTTTTGAAAAAAAATTGCAAAAGATTTTAGCTATCGATGTCGATGCCCGAGTTTTATAGTCACCATCACCGGTCGAGGCGTCACCTTACCTTTATTTTTATCCTATGTTAAAGTAAATATAGAATGGAAGATATCACAAGTGTTTCAGAATATATTTGTAAAATACACGTAAGTAAAATTAGCAGTGAACTTCAGTTGTTTTACTGACGACTTGTCCAGGAGCATGTTTCAAATGTTTTATTCTTATTTATGGTAGCATTCGACTAGTTATATTTGGTGGTGTAATTAGATTTTTCATAGATCAACTTACGACTCTTGAAAACCTCTAAAATATCGACCTTTTCTTATCGCCGTTTAGGTAGCTAGAGTATATGTGTGACCATCGGGATAGCATCAAAATTAGATTTATATCTACAATCTACACGCTAAACTGTACATTATCCTGAGGAAAACTGATCGTACTGAGTAACTAGGGATGTACTGAGCCCGAGCCTCTGAGGCTCGGGCTTGGTGAGGCTCAAGCAGACTTGGGCTCGGGCTTGGTCAGAGCTCGGGTGTCAGAATGGGCGTGAGTGAGAGTGCCAGCAAGAGTGTGGGTGAAAGTTTGGGTGAAAATGTGAGTGAGAGTGAAAAGGATAGTACCTGCAGCCACCACACTCACACTCACTCTCATCCGCACCCATCATAACACCCGAGCTGGAGCCTAACCGAGCCTGAGCCCTGATCGAGTCCAAGCCCGAGAGGCTCGGGCCTAGTACAACCTTTCATATGAATCATACTAAGCTTTCATCTTTGTACATAGACAGCTCGTTGATGCCGATCGAAAAATTGGATCAGTCCAGCCAAGGCCATAGTTTTTACTGATTAGATATTTCGTTTGATGGGCTGTGTTGGGCCAGGTCTCACTCAGCCCATTATGATTTCTGATACCTTTTTTAATATAGTATTCAGAGATAACGAGTATTATTGGTAACTAATGAATAATGATTCTTTTATTTTAAAATATTTTTTTATTAGTGATGGCTAACTGTAAACGCTACCTGCTCATTACTATCGTATCGATTATTCTTATTGTTCTTACAATAGTTCTTGCATTGAAACTTCGAAGTAGGTTTTTTGTAATTTTTCATTTTAACATCATTAAAATATTGATGTACATAAATTTAGATAGATCAACAACAGTATCGACTGGTAAATTATTTTTAAAGCTAAAGAATTTATAAGAAATCAAAGAATGTTTTATTTTTATTTTACAATATATAGATGAATCGGTCAATACAACAACTAATTTTAGTTCTACTACTATACCGTCAGGTACTTGTATCTTTCACTAAATTCAAAAGACAATATCTTTTTGTTGATATATATATATATATATATATATATAGAATATGATATACCATATGCCAACTACACATGCGCAGGAAAAACTGCAAATCCACGGTCAAATTTGAGTACATTTTGGTCATTTGATTCTAATACATATGATTCATTGAATCAGGCGAATGCAACTGCAATAAATAATCCAATGTATTTTGCTGCTTATGCGGGACCAGGTAATTGTATCATGTTCGATGGTATCAGCCAGTATGCAATTGCACCATTGATTGATTTCACTAATCAATCATTTACAATTGAATTAGTTATATTTTTAAATACATTTTTGAAAACTGCAATGATCAGTATACTTAGTCAATGTGCGTCGATGAATGAAACCAATCAATGTTTCAATTTAGGCATTCTTAATTCTAAATTATTTTTTGGTTTCAATAATGACAATTTATATGGCACCACTAGTCTCGCTGTTAATCAATGGTAATTACATAATTCTATCTTATAACTTAAACGATATTATATATCTGTTGTATAGGTATCATCTTGCCTTTGTATTCGATATTGAAAATTTGAACCAAAGAGTTTATTTGAATGGCGTACTAGACGGAAGTCGAACAGCTACAAATCCTTACCTTGGAACATTTGGAAATACAATAATAGGATATCAAACAAATGGGCCTAAGTCTTCTTTGTTTCCAGGTATAGTAATACAAATTTTCGTATCATAATTTTAACCGATAAGTTGTTTCAATATCCGTTAGGTTATATGGATAATTTATTAATCTATCGCGGCCGAGTTAAGACAGATTGTGAAATTCATACTGACACTTTTCTATACGCTTACTACTCGTGGGATAATGGCTTACCGATCGATGATGGTCCCAATAGTATTGATGGAACCTTCGTTAAATCAGTGTCTAGTGTTTCCGGCTATTCAAACAACGGTCTCTCATTCTCTAGCACAGGTTCTTATTTCGTGGTCGCAGATTTTACAGCTTTGGGTCTGTCTTATGATCCTTTTACGTTGTCGATATGGGTCAAACCGAGTTCTTTTGGTGGTAGTATTGTGCATATTGCGTTCAATGCAGACGGAACTACTAATTGTCATACGATATTAGGTATGTCATCATCTGGTCAACCAGTAGCTCAGAACTACGATATAACAAAAATCGGATTATATTCAATATCTGATAGCAATCCGTTACCTCTTAATCAATGGACTCATCTTGTCGAAACATTTAGTATCAATAATGGGTGTAAGTATCATTACATTTTTCATCTTTTTCTACAAAAAAAAATCAAATTTTATAAGACATGTCTTCTTCTTCTTTCCTATTATTTACTTGATCTCTTGACGATAGTATCGATAACTTTTAATCTATAATATTTCAAATTTAGTTCGTCTGTATGTCAACGGCACATTGAAAGCATATAAACTAGGGGTAGGACCTTTCGATGGCGGTAATGTTCCAAGGAGATTATTTGTGGGTTATTATGGAACATCTGGAAGTAGTTGTACTGCTGGTGCCGTCAAATCTGGGCAATATAAGGGCATTGTCGATGAGCTCCGATTTTACAACGTAGAATTGATGCAAGATGATATTTCGAAGCTCGCTTCAATGTAATCAATGTTACTATTAATTGGACTACAAGATCAAAACAAGATCCTAAAAATTTTGTATTTGTTTTCTTCTGACTGAATTTTTTTTAAACATATTCCATAGAACTGCCTTGAACGTTTGTTTCAAATCTATTGACATAAAACTAATGAACTGTTCAATACAAAATATCATTATAATGCTTTTTTCTCCTTGAAATATTATTTTCTGTTTTGCTTAATTACTTTGCTTACCAACATATATATTATTTATCAAATAAATTCTTTTAATATCACCTCAATTCCAATAATGCTCTTCAATTATTTGAAAAGTTTTCTATCGTTTGCAATTTGCAAGCAAAGATGTTTATCGTAGATTAAACGTTAATGTTAAGTCATTTGTATAGAACTACAATCAAACAAAGTTATATAGCTATTTTACTCTAAGGCATACCAAAAGTAACGAGATTTTGATGAAAAAAAAATACAGAAACAAGTTAGGCAAGATTTTATTTCATTAAATGTTCAAAGTAGTTGCCCTGATTATTAACGCACAATTGCAATCGTTCAATCCATTTATCAAAAGTTCTTTTTTAAGTCTTCTTTGATGAGGGAGTTCGTGATCATGGAAACGGCACGATGCAAGGATTCTGAGTCAGTTTGATCAGTTAAATCCTGTTTGATTCGATCGAATAGCCAAACAATCATCGTATCAGATCAGAAGAATTCGATGGTTTTCGAATAATTTTGATATTTTTCGATTCGATATTGTTCAAAACATTTTTATGAATGTGTGGTTTAGTGTTGTCGTGATGGAGTTTAATGGCATGTCGGGGATTCCAATCTTTACCGATAAGACTTTCGCCAGTTATTGGTAAGAATCCATAGAAGATATTAGCGAATGTGTATGAGGTGTATTGAAAAAAGATGAATAGTTTAACTAATAGTGATTTGATCACTGACGTGGTGAGTAATGCTCATGAGAAGTGTCTAGCGTTATGGAAGTGTACCTCTAGTCACACAACTACTTCCAATTCACTCTCGTATAAAAATCTGTGAAGTAGAGTATTGAAATTTCAGAAAAGAAATTATAAAGAATATTTCATGGATAAATAAAAAAAGATTTTGTTTACTTGTATTTGAATTAATTCTTTTTTTAGTGACTCGCGCGTTCGTTCAGAGAAGAATTCCGTAAAGACTGTGGATGTGAATGTGGGAAAGGATATAGCAGAAGCAACACCCACATCCTTTGCTCCAAGCTTTCCATATTAATTCAGTATGTAAGTTTTAATGTGATTGTCTTGTTTTAATTTTCAGCCTTATGATAAAGCATAGAATACACGATTGCTTTAGAAAACGAGTCAAACGTTATATTCCGCGAAACTTTGAAGTGATTTTTGTTAGAACAACGTTGCTTATTTCACAGAAAAGAATCGAAAGATAATGCGTCAGCTTATACTTCATGTCATTTTTCACTGAAAAGAAAGAAATCGATTCCGGCAATTAAGAAAAGAATAAATATATTCATCTATATAAGCTTGCCCGTTATTCACAACGCATCAAAGTGTCTATTCTGTAAACTTGCGTTTGAAGAGAAATATGACCAAGACTATCATAAATCTGTCATGTCTTATTTTAATACTGTAAGTTGTTTTATCTTATGCTTATATTTTACTATATTTTATTTATTTTTCAGATTTCAGTGTGTATCACAATCGTGTACGTTTTTATTACATTCCTCTTCTTTAAGACTATTATGTTGTTTAATCTAGATTCGCAATGGGACTTACCACCCGGTGTCATTCTAGCATTTGCTGGTACTACAGTTCCAGATGGATGGTTGTCATGTGATGGCAATGCAATTAGTCGTCTTCAGTATCAAAATTTATTTCTAGTCATTGGTACAATTTATGGTGTTGGAGATCATGTAACTACGTTTAATCTGCCTGATTTTCGAGGAAGAACCCTTGTTGGTGTCGGTCAAGGTCCGACACTTACAAACCGTTTATTAGGACAAAGTTTCGGCACAGAAAAGCATATACTAAGTGTAAATGAAATGCCAGCACATTCACATGATGTTAATGATCCAGGACATGCACATAAAATGGGAAATCCAGTAGGACAAGTATGGGAAACGGCCGGTGGTAAGACCAATCGATTTTCATACGGTACTAATAATCATGGAGTACCTAACAATCCTCCCACGCAAACTGAACGTACTGGAATCAGCTTAAAGACAACTGGTTCTAGTGCAGCACATAATAATATGCCACCATCACTTGCCATCAATTATATCATAAAGGTATTAATGAGAAAATTTTATTTTATTGAATAGAGTTCGTTCTGCATCTAATGCATCTTATTACAATAAATTTTCTTTTCTTTTGAGGATAAAAGCAAGTGATATAAAAGGAAAACAAATATAATAATCATAAATATCTTTCACCCCAGCTCACATCCACCTTTGCAGAAAAATAGAAAGTATTTTCAAGATAATTCATTACAAAAAAAATGAATAGTTAATGATTGTTCAGTATAAGCATTTGTTCGACAATAACCCATTGGTTTTTGATTATTTCAGCAAATTTGTAATTATTTAGTCATGCAGTATCAAAAGGAAAGTCACTTTCTTTAAAATTTAATGTCTATATTCTGCGGCAAAAGTCAATGAAATATATGTAACAGCATCTCGCCCATTAGCATGTTTTCTTATCCGTTTCTTCTTTAGTGTTTGAAATCGATTCATACATAGATTCGAAATGTAGATAGGTTTAATCATTTGTACAATCTGTTTCATATTGATTGTAGTCGAATTGCTCTTATTGATTGCCAACACATCAGAACTAACATATCATCACTGTTCATATTCGATAATATTGTGCATATTTGTAATGATGATGGTATGAGTGTTCTTTCAATACACACCTATTTTTACTATAATCTCATGGATTAGGATAGGACAAACAAATTTGTCTCTTGCGACGCAGAAGTCGCTCCGTTCTATTTCATACGAAGCCCTGATTTATGTCATTTCAGTTCTTATCTCACAGAAATACCATCCAAATATAGTTTTTCTGACTAAAAAATATGCAATTTAGCTGAATGTCACGGGACTTTTGTGAATATAATCACCTACAAAAATTTTTGGAAGTTAATATTAGAAATCTCGTGATTTTGACACAAAAACAACAAAAAGGAAGAAAAGGAGGAGCATTAATCAGTCGGCTCTATAATTAACCATCACTCTTTAGACATAAAGAAATATAGTTTAGTTTTTTCAACGTATCATAATACTTCTAAATTTATTTGAGACCTGCTTCGTGGAGGTCTTCGTCTAAAACGTTTTGTCTTAATACTCTTATATGATTTATAAAATTTTTTTTATGACGTCGCATCATGATAATTATGATTTCGTGCGTAATTAAAAACATTCGCAGTTGTGTTTAATTATAGGACATAAAAAAGAATTAAGCGATTAATTATACATTTACTTTTGATATTCTCTTTGTAAAAAAATTTAATTCCGACATTCTTTTTATCATATGATGTTTTCAAACGTCTATATTTATAGAACTTTCACATTATAAAAAATCAAACAACACTGTCTAACCTTCTTCTTTTAATATACTTCTACAAAAACTTCTGAATACAATTCAACCACCAGACAATTATCATGACATTATTATACGATGCTCAACAACTTTCACTTTATGTTGGTATTCTTTTACTTTTCGTTGGTCTAATTGGAAATGCAATCAATATTTTAGTTTTTTCAAAAGTTCGTACATATCGTACAAATCCTTGTACATTTTATTTTCTTATGAGTTCAATTCACAATATGTTTTACATTTGCCTTAATCTTCCCATCCGTATTCTGACTGATTATTTTGCAATTAATATAGCTGGTGTATCCGATGTAGTATGTAAAATACGGCAATTTCTTCTTATTATTCCTTCTCTTATTCCCATCACTTTCTCATGTTTGGCTATAATTGATCAATTTTTAGTTACATCAAAAAGTAATTATCTACGAAATTTGAGCCAAATCAAATGGGCTCATCGAATATCAGTTATCGTTATCATTTTCTGGTCTCTTTATGGCGTTCATATTTTATACTTCGAACATATTTTATCAGATGGTATGACTTGTGGAACTGATAATCCCAGTTTGGCTATTTATACACCAATATATTTACTTGGTATCATCTGTGGAATACCTGTTGTCATAATGACTCTCTTTGGATTGTTAACTTATCATAATATCCGTCGAACAATACGTTCTGCTGAGCTGCATTTTGATCGTCAGTTAATACGAATGACATCTATTCATGTTATACTTGTTGCCATTAGTTTGATTCCGTATGGTGTTAATACAGCTTACGCTTTTATTACAATTGGAATTGTTAAAGATTCAGACAGACAAATGAAAGAATATCTTGCCACAACGGTTGTTACTTTAGCAACATATTTATATTATGTCGTATGTTCATTGAATCTAATTTTGATGATTTAATTTTTTTTTGTTTTTCTAGGGAAGTTGTTATACATTCTTATTAACATCGAAACGATTTCGTGAAAAAGTCAAAAATGAAATCTTCTATTGCCGCCGACAAAATACGATAGGACCTACTTAATAAGGGTGTGGATGGGTACAGACTCTATCTCTCACTCACACCCACGCCCTTTGTAATTTTTTGTTCTATTCTATACCTTCACCTTTTACATTCTTCGAGGATTATTTTTGTAAAGACACATACATACGAATGTATCTCATATTTTATCTAGTTGCATTGATGCATAGAAAAACATCATATGACGATGATACATTTATTTATTTGTGATATTTTATGTTGGTGAATGGGTATTATTCATTACGAGAGACATATAATTCTTCGGGAATAATTTATTAGAACAATAAAAATTTTAGTTTACAACACAGAAAAAAAAGTGAGAAATAAAAATATATTAAATTTTCAAATGTAAAACTCGATCTTTTAATGCTTTTAAATGAAGTCGTCGATCTTTATCAGCTTTTTCAAATACTGCTCGATTTTCTTGAGCTCGTCGAAATAAATATGGTTGTAATGATTCAATTGGTCCATATGGTAAATATTTATACGTCTTATAACCAGAGTTAGCTAAAGCAAAAGCAACATAATCACTCATTCCATAAAGTGATGCAAATGAAACTAATGATGAACCACGACGTATATTATAATCTTTCATTCTAAAACAAGGAAATAAAACAAAAATGAATCGTATTTTTTATTCACTTACTTTTGAATAGCATATCGTATCGTATCTTCATTATGTGAAGCAACCATAATTCGAACTTGACCCAGATCACGTTTAGTAATACTTTGTAACACTTGATCAAGACATGCATGATACATTTTGGATGTAGCTTCAAAAGTTGGATTAATTGGATCTTCATATCCACGTTCTTGAGCTAATCGACGTTCTTGATCCATATAAGCACCACGTACAAGTTTAGCTGCAAATATATAATTATATTTTTCAGCTTGAATAAGATCACGTTCCAAGAAATTCGATGTTTCCTATTTATTGTAAACAAAGGAAATTTTTTTCAAAAATAATCTTTAATTTCATGATTATTTACTTTTAAATAACATTGATATGTTCCATAAATAAATGGTTTATCATTCTTATTATAATAACGTTGTAATTCAGTTGCAAGATAATTGATTGCAATTTGAAAATAGGATTGTTCAGCATCGACCATTATCGGAATTTTTTGTTCAACAGATGCCTAAAAAAAATTTCTTTATTCAAATATACAAAATTGATCAATCTTACTTGAGCAATATTATTTAAACGTATAAGAAGATTATAAATTTCGGTTAATTCTTCATATGTCAAGCTAATATTCTTTGATACTACATTCTAGAATTCATCGATTATAAATACGGTTGCCAAGTTAAATAAACCAATATTACCTGTGACTTTATAGATTGTTGAAATGATTCGATCATATTTTCATTTTTTTGTTTTTTATTCATTAATTCAAATATTGATGGTAATATTGAGCGATTTTCAATAGATTTTAAAAATGTATTAAATTTCTTCAGAACAAGAGGTCGAATAAGAGCTGTGACTTTGATTGCAATTAAATTATTCGGTCCACAAACATCATGTGATGTTTTAATACATTCAATAAATTGATTTGCATTATGATCGTGCATTCGATTATGCTGATCTAACCTATACATAATAAAAATTTTGATTGGGAATAAAAAAAATTTACGGAAACTTACGATGTCGATGAAGTCTCAGCATCATCACTTTCAACGCTATAATCTAGTATAGGTCTGACACCATATCTTTGTAATCGTTTGATAACAGGCGTAATCTCTCGAGGAGTTTCACCACCAACAAAATGCCCAAAAGCAGTTAATTTTAAAGCACTATTAAATAAACGAGTACCAAGAATACGTTGACCCCATTTAGCAATCTAATAAAATATTATTGAAAAAAAAACAATTTTTTTACTGATAATTTCTCTAATAATATTACTTGTGTTTGATTATTCACAAGAAAATTAATCGAAAATAATCGATAAACAAAATACCCACGTAAAAGTTCAATACTACGTCGATAACGATAAGCTATTTGATACTGATTAAATTTTGTATCAAGCAATGGATATTCAATTTTTTCATTTTTATTTGTGGAGGAAGTACTCGTTGATTGAGCACGAATTTGTTTCGTAAATAATTGTGTTGTTCGACATGAACAAATAACTGATGCAGATGGACGTAAACGTTTTATCTAAAAAGAACAAAGAAATTATGTATGATCGATATTTTTCTTTCTAAGAAACGTAATACGTACCGTTAACATGAATTTTTCTTATTCGAATGCGTATATAAAATTATATTAGTCGATCACAGAAGGTGTGTTTATTTATAGTCGTCATAGATCGAATCATATGAATCACTCGTGTTAATGTATTTTTTTTTCTTTTGATACAGTACGGTCATTGATTTGAAAGAACGAAAAAGGTCGCCTTTTTCCTAGTATATAAACAAGAAAAAACCAACATACATGTTGTTTTGCCTATGACATCACTTCCCTATTGTCGATTGTGATAATATGGGTTTTTCTCTTCATTCACGTATAAAAATAAAATCATCCCAACATGTTTATCATTTAATATTATCCACTTACAAAATATTACACGATACTTTGATTCAACGTGATACTTTATATCGCATAGGTGTTTTTACCTCTTGAGTCATTACGAATAACAAAATACATATACTATGAGTATTTAATAATATCGTCACATGTCAAATATATTATAATCTTTATTAAAAACATTGAATTTGTTAATTCACTGATTTTTCTTTATTTTGTCAATAAAACAAAAACAAAAAAAGAAACACACACAAAGCTTAGTAGTTAGATTGTACTCGGAAATGATGTTGTTGTAAGTTATTGTGCACACCAAGTCTCATATGTTGTTTTGACTTCCATTGTTGCATATATTTAAGATCACGAACTTTGCGTTGAAATACTTCTCCTAGAACAAAAATTTTTTAAAAAACATATTTATTTATTAAGAAATAGCAAACCTGTTGTTCCTGGACCAGACCAACCAAGAGCACGATATTTATCTTTTATTCTTTGGACAACATCTAATGATTTTTCATTATTTCGATTAGTTAAACTTTGACGATAATATCGAATAAGTGTTCGATGTCCAACTGTTTTACCAGATGGTAATACTAATTCAAAACCAGTAGTATCAAGAAGATTACCATCAATTTCTTCATCAAGATTTTTCTCATTTGAATCTGGATGAGTTGATCTAAATATATATAAATAAATTTAGATATATTTTAGGTAAGAAAAAACAACTTACGAATAATCATAAAAATCCACATATTCCCATGCAGCATTTGGATTTTCATCAAAAAGTATTTTACAATGACCTTTAGCAGTCATATGTCGTTGAACAGATAGAACATCATGAAAAGATTTCTTATTACACCATAAACATACATGAAATATACCAACTTTTTCATCTATATATATATATCAAAGAAGAAAATAAATCAACTTTTTTTTGGTATAAGATAAAATACATACCGAGATATTCGATTAAACCTGGTAAATCTTTAATATATTCAACATCTGGTAAAAAGAAACTATGTGCATGTGCCATATGACTAAGATTTTCTTCGAGATTGGATGATTTTACTGGACAAAATAGACATTCTTCTAAACGTAATGGAGTGCCAAGTACTTGAGTTTCACCTTCCAATACAGATGCATCTAAAAAGAAAACATAATTTCATGTTTAAATTCAATATATTTACACTTACTAGTAACTGTCGCTCCATCATCCATATCATTCCAATCATCATCATCATCATTATCATCACCTTCTTCATCTTCATCTTCTACTTCTTCCATCTGCACTTCATTATTCGACTCTTTTGATGTTTCTGCCGGAGATTTCTGATATTGATTTTTAACCTATAAATAAAATATATAGTATGATTCATTATTTTTGTATTAGAACTTACTGGAAGATTCGCATTTTTCGTAACAGTCTCAATATGTTTTTTCGATTTCATATGATTTAAAAGACCATTTTCTGACGTAAAAGCTTTCCCACAATCTTTACATGTTAATGATGTTCGATTATTAACATCAAGATTTTTTTCTGAACGTTGTTGTTGTTGTTGTTGAATAACTTCAACTTTTTCTGCAAAATCATTTGCAGTAATTGGACCAAGATCAGCTACTTTACGTTTAAGATTATAACGATGCCAATCAGTTTTATAATGTGCACGTTGTAATTCACCATTATTAAATGCAACATGACATGTAATACACGTATATGGAGATGTTGAAGACATTTTATTCTAGAAATGAAAAGAATACAAAGTATATTAGTTGCATAATTATATATAAAATAACATATAAGTTATAAACATGACATCTATCGTTTACGAATATAGAATAGTTTCAATTACCAATCGTGCTATTTCAATTTTATATTTCTGTTTACTAGTGACCTCTTAATGAGCATCTATGCATTTTAATCAAATAAATCTATTATTTCATGGTTTTAAGTTGAAAATTTTATATAGATATTTATATTTTAGCTGAAATTTTACATAAAATAAATTTCTATAAAAATCAAACTTATTTACATTTTATTAATACACCATATTAGAGTCTTACTATTGTCTTTTATCCATTGATAATGGTAACATTCATTGTGTTATTGATGTTTCTTTCAGACACATTAGTACTCTTTTGATTATTCAATTTTTATTTATCTATATATTATTCTTAAAAAACGAATCTCGAAAGAAATATTCAAGTTTTTATTTCATCAATCAATCGTTTCAACTTTATACAACAATTATAATACGAGCTTCAATTGAATAACGAAGCTCAATTATCTTTAGCTTAGGTGAGTTTTATTGTTTTATTTTTTTTTCTTTTTATTTTTTTTTCTAATATAAATTTAATATAAAAACATATGATCATAATGTTTGTTGTTTTTATCAATATAAGAAAAAGAAATTCATCATTTATATTCAACGTTGATTATGCATGAGAGACTTAATAAGAAATTATAGATGTAAAACAAATTATGTGAATGAAATTTCTTTTAATAGTACATTCAAAATGTTTCCCAAACATTGCATCAATTCGTTTCTTGTTTTATAAAATTTGAAAGAAAATGATGAACAATTCTCATCACTACTCTTCTTTTTTTGTTTTGTTTTAAAGAAATAGTAATTTCAATCCAATCTTATGACATATATATGTTTTCCATTCTTTTAATTACATTGATATTATTGTTATCCTTTTTGATATGATACTATCATTAGAATTTATATCAATTTTCAATTTTAATATTGTCTATCATATATAGATATATAAATATATCTTTTTAATATGAAAATAATTTGTAAAAATGATGTTTGAACGACATCACATCTGTCATTATCCCACACAAATCTCTGCTTGTTTCTTATCACTAAGCGACATATATTCTCAACTTTCTTATTTTTGTTCTTCGTTTTTTTTCTTCTTCTTCTTCTTCTTTCTTTCTTGTTCACTCGTTAATTCATCTTCGAAATGAGGAGAGAACTGTGTGGCAAACTCGTCACTCGCAGCAGCAGCATCATCATTGTTGAGTATGGATCGCTCTTCGACAAGAAGAAGAAGAAGAAGAAGAAAAAAAAAAAGAAAACGCCTAAGTAACAAGAGAAAAGATGACTGAAAACGAAGAGTGCCGGATGGAAAAAGAGATACCAATGCAAGGAGATTATTTTCATCACCTTTATTCATTGTGAGAAGGCTTTTTTTCTCTTCTTCTTTGTGTTCAATCGAAATAAGGAAAAATTAGTTTTGCGGTATTTGTCTTTGATGCTCTCTTGTCCTTTGGGATAATAATGCCAAATATGATCTGTCTTGCATCATGAACATCATTCTTTTCTTTATTAGACAATAAAGTTTGCTATATATATTATTAAAGCAACAACAGCGGACATTGGTCTGTTCTCTTATTCATCGTTTGTTAGTAGTGGCTGTTATCAAGTGGATTCTTCTTTTCTGCGTCGTCTTCTTCTTCTTCTGCTTCTCTGTTTGATTGCTTCTCTCTCGTTTTTTTCTCTCTGCTACCACCAGTGGCAAAGAACAGACACGACTGCAAAAGAAGGAGAAATAGATAAGGGCGACGCCATACTGGTGTATGTCTATATATATATCTATATATATATATATATATGTGTTTTTTAACGCACCCAAGCGCGTTTCTTGCTCTCTTTTTCTATCTTTCCATTTAGCGTTCGTTGTCGATGCACCAAGTAATCATTACTTCCCGTTCTCTCTTTCTCTCTCATCGTCGAGTTGAGCTCCCGATAGTACCCAACACAACAGAAACAGCCATCATTGCTCTTGTTCTTTCTTCCTCCATTTGCTCTTCTTTTCCTATTTTTTTTCTTCCTGCTTTTTTTTCAAAAAAACGACTATAGTTCGCATTACTAGAATTATGATTATAGAAAAGCAAGCGAAGTAGTTACGGCGGCGAAACCAGTCATCGTTAATAGTATATGGTGGAAAGAAAGAAACGCAAAGAAAATTATCATCAACAATAGAGCTGTTCATCAGCATCGCATCATCATCATTGCTGACTGACTCGTCCGAACCCGAAGCCCAATGTGTGTGTGTTCGTATTCCTTCCTATTTTTTTTTCTCTACTTTTCTTCTATGCCTCTCTCGTTCGGGAAAGAAGATCTTCCCTTTACATACTGCCATCGTTCTTTTTTTTCCTTCTTCTTCTTCTTCTTCACCCTATTACTGCTTCATACATACAAACTTTTCCTCTCGGTTGCTGTTACTGGCAGTCGACCAAGCTTTCTCTTCGTTGTTTCATCCGTCTCGTCCGCTCGTTCGTTCGCCTAAATAGCAACAGCAAGCAATAGCGTCGCCGTCGACACATCGTAGTTTTTCTTCTTTTTTTTCTTGATTCTCGGGTTTTTTTTTTGTTGAAAACCTGAAACAAACCAGTAATCGTGTGCATGTGTGTGTTTATTATTTTGTCACATCTTAGAAGTGTATGCATAAACGATAAAATTTTAGACAAAATCTTATTTTCTCTGCAATGTACACACGTAATAAACGGAAAATAATATATCAGGAACAATACGGCAATCCTCATTATTATCATCATTATTTAAACTATAGTCAATGATCACGTCTGTTGTTCATTATTATTATTATCTTCTTAATGGTTATTCGTCATTTTTGTATTTTCTATCGTACAACAAAGCAGATCAAGTAAGATCAATAAATATGAACAGAAAAAAAAACATAGAAAACGAAAAGAAAAGAAAAGAAAAGAAAAAAATTTTATTATTGTTGTTGATTTTTTGTTTTTTCACTCTCGTTTATGTGTCTGTGTATGATGTTACAGCCTGTGCAGTAGAGATTGGCAAGTCTTCTTTATTGTGTGCGTGCCGTTATTGTCGTGTAAGAATAACATGTTGAGAAAGAGAAGAAATCGCGCGAGTGCGTCACCCGATTCGAACAGAGAAGAACACGCACGTACACTACTACTGCCATCGATGGTGATGATGATGGTAGTAGTAGTGGTGGTATTGGTGTTAGTAGTACTAGTAGCGGTAGCAATGACATCAGAAAGCAATAGTAGATAGGACATATACATTGACTGTCACACAGTTAGCATCATCATTCTTGTCCCGCAAGACGGAACACCAGAGAGAACGAACAAGGACTATAGTGACGCACGCACAACTAACATTGCTAGTTAGATAATAACTAGAATCTTTTTTGATTCGATGCATTTTCTAGTAATTTTTATAATAGAATATTTATTTGATTCTATCAAAGACAAAGATCTTTTTTTTCCCTCTCTCTCTCTCATGCATATCAAACGGTTGAAACTAAAAAAAGAATTTCTAATCATTTTTTTTATAGGTTATAGTTCATATGAATTAGAAAAAGATTTTCTATAAAATTTAAGAATAACACAAAAAAATCAATGTATATTTTTCTTATTCAAAGGTTTGTTCAACAATCGCAATTTGCAATTAATTCAATTTTTTTCTTCATTTTCCCATTATTTTATACCTTATCTTTTTAATCAATAATAAATCAGAATGAATGATATTGAAAATTTAAGACAAGAAGCCGAATCGCTCAAAAATCAAATTCGAGTATATATCAACTAATTATTATTATTAGTTTTTTTCTAATCTATTTATTTATTATAAAAGGATGCTCGAAAGGCAGCATGTGATGCTACTCTATTACAAGTAGCACAAAATGTCGATCAGATCGGTCGTATTCAAATGCGTACACGACGAACACTTCGTGGTCATCTTGCCAAAATCTATGCTATGCATTGGGGATCCGATGCAAGGTTTGTTTAACACGATTAATATGAATTTATTTGATCTAATAAATCTTTCTCAATTTAGCTCGTCCTCTAGAAATCTTGTATCCGCCTCTCAAGATGGTAAACTCATTGTATGGGATTCATATACAACCAATAAGGTATAAGAAAAAAAGATTTATTTTATAGGTTGATTAAGATTAATAAAATGATTTTTTTATTTTAAATTTAAGGTTCATGCTATACCACTACGTTCATCATGGGTAATGACATGTGCCTATGCCCCATCTGGCAATTTTGTTGCTTGTGGTGGTCTTGACAATATTTGTTCAATTTATTCGTTAAAAACACGTGAAGGCAATGTACGTGTTAGTCGAGAATTACCTGGTCATACTGGATATTTATCATGCTGCCGTTTTCTTGATGATTCTCAAATTGTGACAAGTTCAGGAGATATGACATGGTAAGTTTATTTTAACCATATTTGATTAATATATATATTCTTTTGTTTTAGTGCTTTGTGGGATATTGAAACTGGACAACAAACAACTAGTTTTCAAGGACATACAGGTGATGTTATGTCACTTTCATTATCGCCCGATATGAAAACCTTTGTTTCGGGTGCTTGTGATGCCTCGGCCAAAGTAATAATTTAAATGATTATTTTTTTATTAAATAATACATGTTGTATTATCTTTATGTAGCTTTGGGACATTCGAGAAGGCATGTGTAAACAAACATTTCCCGGCCATGAGTCGGATATCAATGCTGTAACCGTACGTTATACTATTCTTTTAAAAAATATTTTCTCTATTTTTATCATATATATGTATCTATATATAGTTCTTTCCAAATGGATCGGCATTTGCTACTGGATCAGACGATGCAACCTGTCGTCTATTTGATATTCGTGCTGATCAAGAAGTAGGCATGTATTCACATGACAATATCATATGTGGTATAACATCGGTTGCCTTCTCGAAATCGGGTCGTCTTTTATTGGCTGGTTATGATGATTTTAATTGTAATGTTTGGGATACACTTCGTCTTGAACGTGCCGGTAAATTTATTATTTTAACACTTTATTTATTTGTTTATTTAAACATTCTATTTTTAAATTTCAAGGTGTTTTGGCTGGCCACGATAATCGTGTCAGTTGTCTTGGTGTAACCGAAGATGGAATGGCTGTAGCGACTGGTTCATGGGATAGTTTTTTGAGGATTTGGAATTAACCTCAATTTCTATAAACTTTTTAAAACAAAAGATCTGCTTTGCCACATCGACGACAACAACAAGAGCCAGCCTTTTTACCTATTCTCCCTCAAGCAAATACAACAACATTTTCTTTCTTTATCTCTCTCTCTCTCTCTCTCTCTTTTTCTTTAATGCTCTAGGCTGGTGGACATATTTTTTTGTACGTTTGGTATTGCCAATTTTGCTTGTTGTCCTTTTTTTTTTCTTTTTTCTTTTTTGTTCTTGTCTCTGTTGTACTCCTGTTGTTGTTCTTTTCTTTACAGTGGTGAAACAACGTCTGTCACACAT